TCCCTCCCTTTTCTCTCCCTCCCTCCCTTCCTTTCTCATTTTCTCTCTCCTTCTCTCTTCTGTCTCTCACATACACATGTCATTGTTAAAACCGTTTACAGATCTGACCAACACGAGCTAGCTAAGCAGAAGTACTCTATCATGAGGCCATGGCTGGTAGATTTCAGATGAGGGAAAACCTTTTTTTTTTTTCTCTCCTGTGAATTTATTTTTGCTTCAAAGCTGTGCAAGACTGCGCCAGGTGGCTGCCTCTGGTCTCCCACAGATGGTGACCACAGGAATGTTCATCATGTGGCTGTTTGGGGGGCCACCTTAGCCCTGGCTGGTGGCAGTTCTAGAGGTGACCTAGGTACCCACAAGCCACCAGCTGATCACACAAATCAAAGTGAACACAGCCAAGACACAGCCACTGGCCTTAGAAAAATAAAGACATTTGTGATAGTCATCTCATCTCCTTTTAAACTGTAGCGCCAGGCTGCCATAAAGAAATGAAGCCGGGGAGATGGCTCAGTAGACTAAGCGCTTGCCTGGCAAGTGCAAGGGTCTGAGTTCGATCCTCGGTTCCGAAAAAACAAAGAAATGAAGCACCTGCGTTTGCCAGGGAGCGAATCCAACCACACAGGTCTTCCTCTCCAAGCCCTGCAGGTAACGCTGCCTCACAACGTGGTAATTAAGCCCCAAGCCCCACTAATGCAACCGAAGCAGCCCACTCTGAACAGTCCACACCGTGACAGGCACTCATGCCTTGTGCTTACCTGTGGGGACAACTTCTTGGTTGGCAGCAGCACTTGTCACAAACTGACACTGCAGGGAGGTAGCAGGCCTCTAACTCCAGCCTTGGCAGTGGGAAGGTGGCAAACGAGGAGACGATTGGTCCTCTGGATCCCCCCAGTTCTCCACCACCCTGGGAGAGGAACGTCAGGGTGACCCAGCTGCTGCAATGACAGCGTATCCCAGGGTCGTGCCTCTCCTTCCACAGCCAGGGCCCGGCGCCCCCGGAGGGGAGGGGCCTGCCTGGCTTCCCTGGGGGCGAGGGGTGGAGGCAGAGGCCAGAGAGGTGTGCGCCTCTAGGGTCCCCTAGAGTCCCTTAGCCCAAGGCAACATACAACCGGGGTTTTTCCTAGCACTCTCAACTTTTGGCGCACACTTTTCCTCTTTTAAAAAAGGCATGTAAAACCAGGGGCGTGCAGGGGATCAGAGGTGACCCACCCGGCTCCGGCTTCGATAGCACTCCAGGGCTCTGGCCTGGCTTCCCCTGGAGGGCCCAGGGTTGCCCCGGAAACTTGAGCGACTGGGTGGCGCGCGCGGGACCCAACCCGGAGGTTCTTGCTGTTGCCACCCTACCTAGCCAAGCCCATCCTCCTGGGGGTCCTGGGGTCTTCCCACAACGCGTGAGAGCGCTTCCCTCCAAGGTGGCCCGCCACTGGTGACACCAAGGAGCGCGCGGGTTTCCCCACCGGGCTGCCGCCACGGGGTGCACTGACCTCAGCCTCGGTTACCCTGACGGGGAGCAGAGCTCCCAGGAAGCGGCCCCAGCGACAGCTGTGGACGTTGGATTCCAGGCAGGTTCCCTGGCCAGGCGTGGACAGAGCAGGGCACTGCCTCGTGGGACCCTGACGCCCGCGCGAGTCCTCCGCGCGCGATCGCCCCGGGTGCCGGGCTCCGCTCCCAGGCCGCGCGCATGCGCTGCCCGCCCCCTCCGAGTCCACCCGAGTCCGCCACCCTCCGGGGCTCGGGGCAGGGCCCGTCGGGCTCGGCCCGCGCGCCGGGACCTGGGCC